ATGGGAAGTCTTTTGACATTATGACTTAAACCTAGTCATGTACCGTAAAGTTTCTTTATTCACAGTTAATGCGCCTACTGTAAATCACTTTGTAATTAATTATTTTCTATAACCATTGATTAACGTATTATTATAAAAAGGATCTGAGAGATCCTAGCATACCCTATGAGAGCACAAGAATGTATTTAAAAATTATTTTTGGAAAGAGTTACTGTGTCTCATAGATGGCGCTAGGATGTTTCAGGTCCATTTTTGCACGCCAGAATGCAGTAGGTAGTAGACAATGGTAGAACATAAGTTGACAGAGAAACATGCACTAAAGTCCTCAGCAGGTCACTCTAATCTGAGAAAGTGCTTAAATGATGCAAAAACGCAGTGAAAAACGTCTAACCGCTAACGTCTCACACTTATTGTGTTTCAACATGTAACTTCACAGTTTAACTAAAAGCATCGTTTGAGAGTAAATAGAACACTAGTGGGTTAAGCTAATATTTTGTAACACGTTTCGCATAAAATACTACAAAACATTGGAGGGAATCTCTGAAATATCACTAACCTCAATAATTAATGTAAATATATGCACCCCAGCGCATAGTTTGGCAGCAACTTCGGCTAGTGTTCGCACCAACAAATAAAATTATGATTTATTCATGAGAAACCTGCCAAAATATTCCAAAGTTTAAATGAATAAACTATGACTTTTTTGCATTCTTGTATGTCGTGTTATGGTCGAATCCATCAGTCGAGATTTCCAAATTATGTGCACTTTGTTAGTCAAGAGCTAAACGAAGTGGAAAATGATTTTGAATGTTTTATTCATCATTGTTTGTCGGAATGGTCCCGAGGATTCTAGAACCAAGCACTCTTCGGTAATTCTTTCTTAATTCACTCACTATGTGAGAAGTATTATATTATTTGGGAATAATTTTATTTCGGTAACACGCCTATGCAGTGTTTTTCGTAAAGTCTGACGGAATAACGGGTTGTCTTAGAGCGTCTTTGTATAATCAATCGCTTTTAACCAAACAACTAATCATCAAGACCCTGTAGTCTGTTCAAACAGCATACTTCTTGCAGAAAGGTATACCTAAATATGCAATAAAAAAAAGGTATGTACGTTATATATTTGGAATACCCAGGAGAGAAAGAATCTCCCAGCAACTCAAAGAAATGAAACGGTTGAACGGACAAGAAAGATGAGTAGTGCACCTCCTTTCATCTCTCCAAGCCTCTCTTATTGATGTGACACCGACTTACCAATATAGTAAGCGGTGTTTTAGAAGCCAATGTCACAACTTGAATTTGCGCTATGTTGGGCATATTTTAGATGTTCCACCACACAAGAATCTTTCAAAGAAAATGTTTCTACTACTACTCCTATACGACAGTATGCCATTTAGTCTGAAGACTTTACATTACAATCTTTCAAATCTTTCAAATTAGGGACTTAATTTCCAGTCGTTGTTAGAATATTGATTGTTTTTTTATCTGTTCTGATGTACCTGATTTGAAAGAATTTAATTAGATGTTTCTCCATCGTTTAGCGACCAATACTTCGACTATTTGATCTTTTCTTGATTATTTGAGTTAGTCTTATAGTATTTTAGATGTTTAAGTATTTCATTGTATATTTATTACAAACATTTCTACTTTCTATTTGTGCCTATATGTTAGATATACCATCAGCTGTTCCTGTAATTTTGCACTGGTCAATATCGTATAGCAGCTAATAAGCTGAATATCCACCAGATTAATAAGGGCCTTTATTATTATTATTATTATTATTATTGTTATTATTATTATTATTATTATTATTATTATTATTATTCGTTTTTGGTTGGTCTTTCACCGTTACACACGGGGTATGTACACAACAGGGGAGGAATTCACCTCAGCCTATTGCGAAGAACTTGCGAACTATGTGACATGTTTGCAAGATTGCGGCTTTCTGCATCAATGCAATAAAATGCGCTGGAACTTTGATTTTCTCTAAGTGAGAGTGAAGATTTACAGAGACTGCCCCTTCCACAGATACTACTACTGGTATTATGCAGACCTCTGATAGTTTCCAAATGTTTTTGATTTCAATGGCAAGGTTTTGGTACTTTTCAGCCTTGGTGTATTCGGTTCTGATTATGTTTACTGTGAGTGGAACTGCGATATCAATTATGTATGATTTCCGTTTATTTTTATCGATCAGTAGTATGCCTGGCCGGTTATAGTAAACTGTTTTATCGGTTATCACTGGCCTGTCCTAGTACAATAGGGCCGACTGATTCTCGAGTACTGGGAATGGTGTGTATATTTATAATATGGCGCGGTTGACTGAATCAGATTATAATTTTGAGCTAACGTGGAGTGTATTATTTTGGCTACTTGATTATGCCGGGACAAGTAAGCACTATTGGCCAACATGTTGCAGCTGGAGGTGTTGTGTTCTATTGTTTCACCTGGCGTATGGCATTTTCTACATACGTCGTGTGTATTCAGGCCTAGTATATGGCGTTCATAGTTTCTAGTTCGAATAACCTTATCCTGAATAGCACATAGAAAATCCTCCGATTCCGGATGTAGGTAGCCGTTCACAAAAATTGATAGTGAGGACTTTTTATCAATTCCATCTTTTTCAAGTGTTACAGGATATCTCCCGTGAAGGGATTTCTCTTTCCATCTGTTAAGCAGGTCAGTCGACGTCGGTATTGATCGATCTGAGGTTTCATGATTTCTGCCCAAATTCATGGGGGTGATGTTGCTGTCAATAGCTGTAATGCTCCTAATGTTTTGGCAATTGATGTTGCAAAAATATCGACGAAGCTTGGACACTTGCTCTTTGCAAAGACGCTCAACATTTATCAGTCCTCTTCCCACAAGGCCTCTAGGTATGTATACTCTTTCCGTGGCAGATTTTGGATGTAGCATAAGAAATTTGGAGAGTAATTTTCTAGTTTCGCGATCGATTTTTGCTAGGTTTGTATCGCTCCATTTAATAACGCCAAAGCTAAATGACAGCACTGGCACAGCCCAAGCATTTATTGCCATTATAAGATTTCTTGAATTAAGTTTGGTGTTGAGGAGTTTTGTTGTCCTGCTGATGTATTTTTGCTTTACGATTGCTTTTAAGTTGGTGTGATCCAACCCTGGGTTTTGTTGAAAACCTAGATACTTATAATAGTCTTCTGGGGATAACATAGCTATGTTACATATGCTACTTGCGGCGGGTGCGGTCTTACCCCTATTATATTTGTGTTGTATGGACGAGGGATGACAAATGATCTTCTGACTGGGCAAACAGCTTTATATCATCCATATACATCAAGTGGGTAACTCAGTCATTGTGCTGCTTATTTACTTTGTAACCCGCTGAGCTTCTATTCAACAACTGTGATAATGGGTTCAGTGCAAGACAAAACCATATTGGGCTAAGACTGTCCCCTTGGTAAATGCCTTTGTTGATTTGGACGTTACCTAGCTTAACTTTATTATTATTATTATTATTATTATTATTATTATTATAAAATATGGAATATTCCGTTTAAAAGTACCTACTCAACGGGAGCTTCAAAATGAGCTCTCACATAACTCTTCAATTCTGTTTGAACAAATATTCCAAGATGACAACCAGCCACCATTTTTTAATTTTCTATCTCTGAAATATAGTATTAATCCCGCAATTTCATCAGCCTTTGAGAAAATTGAATGCATCAGGCGAATTCTTCACCAGTGCTTTTGGGCTACCCCTCTCGTTCATACTCATCAAGAACTAGTACGTGCTCGGGCTCTTATGATTCCCTATTGTTTCTACTAACGAGACTATAACATGTCATTGCATGTGACCTCTACTTTAAAAACACCTGGGCGCGTACTTCTTAAACATACCTAATTGTTTATTACAAACTTAATATGCGGCTTAGCAATCAAATAGATCTAATTGAGAAAACGGATCTTAATCAGAGATTACAAATTGTTTTTGTAATGCAATTTTGTTAAAATGAGACGTACGGACAGACATATGACCTTGTATGCACTTCAACGTAAGCACGAAGTTTATTAATTTCAGCTTTTTTAATGGTCATAATTGCTTCCTTGATTGATATACCTACACTTCATCAGGACAGACAATTTCATCAACTTTAACAATGAATTATGAGGTTGTGCAATTTACATATTTTTAGAACTAAAATTATTTTCGTCTCACGTAGAATGATTCAACACCACACACATATACATTGATTGAACAGATACATTAAAAGAATGTCGTCAAGAAGGTTGACTCTGCACTTCATATGCAACACCGTCATCAATTCATAAGCGACTGAGTTCAGCGCAACTTAATTCGTTTGAGAAAATAGCTATGCACATTTTCAACAGATAAACTAGATCAGAGTTCCCCAAACTTTTTTGTGTCGTAGACCCCTTGCCATGTTTTTCCGTGTTGGGTAGACCCCCTACTTACCTGATATTGAGTTCCTGTAAATTTCTAACTGTGTTAAAAACACATGTTAATTTATACATTTATTAAATTAAAACTACTCAAAATAAAATGTTGTATCTGTTATGTAAAATATACGTAACATTAAATAAACAGGTGTCTGACTAATAAGTGCCCGCATTGGGAATAAGTACCCGCATTGAAAAAAAAATAAGAGGGATAAAATAAAAAAAAGTGAAAAATAATAAAAAAAAGTGTTTTACTTAAAATAGTACAATAAGCGAGTTCGTTTATTAATTATAACATAAACGTATGTTCTACAATAATTTCACTGTTAGTTTGATTAAATTCCGCTACTTATACGTTTAAGTTATCTAAAAATAGGCAAAAAATTAACGAATTTTAGTGTGTACCTATCCTCGAATTTTCAGAATAATTTAAAAAAAATATTTTCTATAAAGGGGGGTACTTTAAAGAAATCAATGCGGGCACTTATTCCCAATGCGGGCATTTATTGGTCAGACACCAGTAAACATAAAATAAGCTATAAATAAAAGAACATAAGCAATAAGTCAATATTTTTAGTGAGAAGGGTGAACCTGATGCTTTAACAATAAATTATCAACATTTGGCGTCAATTTTGTAAGGGTTAATCTTAAATCTCCTCGGCTATTGATGTCCAGTCTGTTTCTTTTTTTCATTAGGAGATTGGTAACAGCGCTGAACCCCCTTTCCACTAGGTATGACGATGGAAAGGAAATTAAAAATGTCCTCGCTATATTCCATAATACGGGATAAGTAACGGGTATGTTGTTTTACAGCCAGAATTGCTGATATCCGTTTTTAAACTGAACCTTAAGTTCTTCGTTTGTACTTAGTTCAGTCAGTTCCTCTTGTATTATGACATTCGTTTCTTCTATGTCACCATATGGATTAATTATCCACGGTGGTATTACCATAGTCAAAATATCCTCAAACCTAGATTCAAAATCTGAATGGAGGGCATTTAAATGTTGAACGTAAGTTGAAACGTCGTCTTCCTGGCAGCTTGTCTGTGACAAATTGGGGAACTGAGAAAATTCGCCCCGTCCAATATTTTGCTTCATTAGTTTAACTCTGGCAAGAAACGCTGATAATATGGACTTTGTTTTAATCAAATTTAAACTGTCGCCTTCTAATTGCAAATTAACCATATTACATTTTGTAAACAAATCTGTTAAATAGGCGAAGTCTGTTTTCCTCTTCATTACATTTTCTTTTAAAATTTCATCTTTAGTATCCAGAAATTCTAAAATAGTCTCAAAAAGTGCAAAAAAGCTTGTCAAACAAGCCTTTCGACAGCCAGCGTACTTCAGTGTGAAGGAGTAATTGATGAAAGTGTTCGTCATTTTCTTCACACAACTGCGCAAATAACCGCGTGTTCAACGCGTTGCTTCGGATTCGGTTTACTGCATCAATGACTAAATGAAGTGATTCATGCAATCTAACACTCAAAATTTTTAGCAACTAAATATTGTCGATGGATGACGCAATGTATTGCTAACACCCCTGACACATTTTGTTTTAAATAGCTTATAAATCCACGATAACGTCCAACCATGGCAGGTGCTCCATCTGTAGCTACTGATATTATATTTGATAAAGGAATTGCTTTTTCAATGAAGTAATCCTTCAAAACATGAAATATTGATTCACCTTTAGTGTCGGTTATCAAAGTGCTTGCGAAGAGCAGTTCTTCGTAGATTTCTTGATTCATAATAAAACATATGCCAATAATAATGCTGCATGATCAGGTAAAGTTGACTCGGACAGGTTGTATAGAGAAATGGGTCGTTTGCAAATAATTACATAAGAAGCTTTCAATATCAGAACTCATTTCATCAATCATTCCGAAAACATTTCGGAATTACGGAGATTGCACTGTAATTATATTACCGATTGCTAAGGCCCGTATCGTCAGTCATCCCTACAATTGTAGGGCGCCTTTATGACCTGCTTATTGTCATAGTTTTCTACTTCTCCGTGTCAGCGCTCTATTTTGAGGTTATGTCACAAACATCTATTTGAATCAAATTGTGTTTTATCAGTCTGAAATTTCCTACAATTTAAAAAGAAAACATATCTTTGCAATAGGAGAGCGCTGACGCTGACACGGGACAAGTGTAATCTAGAAATTTTTGAAGGAGAGAAAGAAGTATGACAATCAAGGAGGCCATAAACGCGCCCTACAATTGTAGGGACGACTGACGATACGGGCCTAAAACTTTCAAAAAGAAACTATTGAGGAGTACTCGTGTAATTTTTCATGATTGAATATTTAACTACTAATAACTAAAGTCATGATTGGCGTAATTTATCTATCTTTGCTAACTACGAGTACAAAACTAAAATTTAATAAAAAATAATGTACTTACTTTTCTCCAGCACTCTCAAAAAAAATAACACTGACTCACTATAATTTGTGTGATATACTATCTGTTTATATTTTTCAAAATATATTCTTAGCACTTTCCTTTTCAAGATTCAGGAAACGAATAAACGTATTTGTCCCACATTAGTATTTATAGAGTGACGAATTGAACAAGTCAGTGCAAGGTAGCGAAGCTCTGAGACTGCGACTCTCAGGTTTTTACAAGTTCAAAATGGATTGCGACCACAAATCGAATACCAGCATCCTACAACTTACACAATTTTATAAACATATATAATAAATTTTTTACTTCATAGGTACTTTTATAAATAATGTATATGTTTTGATATTATAAGATAGTATGATGTAAGTAAATAGGTACTATACTACTATGGTATGTGTTGAGATCCACTATCGTGGACCCCCATATTGTCATAGACCCCTAGGGGTCGATATAGACCACTTTGGGAATCAATGAAATAGATGAATCAAGTCAGCCAAATAGGCCCATATGATTAGCACTTAGACATTCCAACCCTATCGGTGGTGACTGTCGATCTGGCAACGTTGTCCCTTTCCGCATCTGCGCGGCATCACTGCAGCGAGTTCAATTCGTGCATGGTCCGTGTATATGTTTTCTGTGCTGCAGTGCGGATAGATTAGTCAGCCGAACCGGTTGCTTAGATAGCAGATATATGCGGATCGAAAATATTTCTCAATCATTCAAATTTCAAATTGTACGAGAAAATCTATTATGTATAGAATAGGTGCATAGAATTGCCGGGTTGGGTGTGTATAAAAATACTATGATCAATAAAATTTTCATATACCCTCCCCCAACCCCTACAATCCTCGAATTTCAACCTCTACAAAGTTTTCTAAAAATGATTTTTTCGTTTTTCACTTTAATGGCTTTTTCATCCTTGGTATTTTAGTAACCTTGAGTGAAAATTTCATCAAAATCCGAGTTGTACTTCTAAAGTTATATAGACGGGCCAAGGATTAGCGGACAGACAAACAAATAGACAGACCTACATACCACCGGAATGAGTGGCATGATTTTTTGAGATGTGCTGAGATGTCATATATCTTCCAAAAAACACAATACCTCAGTTTCGAAATTGTTGGTGACTACAATACTTCCTCGCCCAGTGGGTTAGGAAGTAACAATCCAACGGAAGACAATTAAGTTTTAATTGTGTTATCAAGACGAATCTAACGGCACATCAAATGTCCAAATCCAACAAGCCGTTTGGACTGTGAAATAGAAATTGTGAAGTATAAAGTCCTCCATTTTGATTTTATTAAATTTTAGTATGTGCAGTGCCTTTTGCACGGTAAAGAAAAATCTAAAGCCGTTTCGTATGATGAAACCAACAACGCCTCATATGTCAAAATTATTGAGCCGTTTAAGCTGTAGGCAGTAAAATAGAAGTTTCGAATTCAAATGTTCAATTAAAATTCGGCATTTTAATTCTACATTTAGCAGCAAGGGGAAAAACACGATTTTATTTGAAAAGTCGAAACGGAGGAACTTCATTATGGCTGAAAGGTTGAAGAGTATAAAACGGGAAAAATGTCTTTTTAATATTAACGGCTAAATTAAACATTGTTTCCAAAATATATGTTTATTTCTTATATTCATCGGCATAATATAACAGATGCATATTACTGTGTATTTTGACCACCTTGTGTGCGTCACATTAGTATTATTCAATCTTAGGATTAATTATTAGTATGGATAATAAATTTTCCACGAAACGTTTGAGCGTCCAATATAAACATAGGATACACCGCTCTAGTAACATCTGGTATTTGCAGATCGTCGCTTGAATGCAGAACTATTCTAAGTCACAAAATGCATATTTTACAGGAGAGCTATTTTTCGTGTTTGTGTCTTGCCTAACATTTCTGAGAAATTTTGGATATAGAATGCTTTACCGCAAAAAAAGTATGACTAGTCCGTGAAAGTAGACTTATATTTGTTGCTGACATTGGACTTACAGTCGTTCTGTAAGTGACCATCTGCCCTTATCATAGTTCTGCAGCGAAATGACGCGCCTCAAGCTATTACGCCAAAATATCGATCAAGACCAGTGGTGGGGGAACGCTTGCGCAGGGACTTACAATACCTCTGCATGCAATGTAGGTAACTATGACCTACAATGTCATGTTAAAATCTGAAAAACGAAGAATTTGGACATACAATAGTTCTGCATTCAGGCGACGAGATATTCGCATGTAAACTATGGTTTTTATGGTGTTTATCTTGCCATATAATAATTCACAGCACGTTTAAATGGGCCCTACTACCGTTTTCATGTCAGTTTATTTTTTTCTATACGCGAAATTCGTAAAATCATATGATGTGGATGTCGATCAGAGGCGCGGACATTTATTGATTTCAAGAAAACAATCTGCGTCAAATGAAAATGCTTTCGTTGAAATTGGAGGAAAATTTTTATAATGCAGCTCATAGGAATCCAAATGTGAATTTGCTTTTGGAAAATAATTCGGTGATATAATACGAATAAAGCATCATCTAAGTGACCAATATTTTTGTTGCATTATTTGGTTATACAGGGATTACCAAGTTTGTTTAAGTGCTTGAGGTCAATGTGTACGAGAGAGAGAAGCACGAGAAGTATGTAACAACACACGTTAGAAATAGATGGAAGCCGGCTGAAGAGCGAACGTCATCACGACTCCCCTTAAACATGTTTGGTATCTTTGTAGCCAGACCTGACAGACCCACAGACCGACGAGACTTTTAACTAAGAGCAAAGGTCCACCGGACAGCTCTGACGAATAATGGCGAATAGTAGTCATCACGACATTTACTAACGACGGTGACGCAGAAGGTCATGCAATCTGTTGCGTTGCCAATATGTTACACCAGAAAATGTTCGCTCAGGCTTATACAATAGGTTAGGTTATTGTCAAACCCAAGAAGGAGGTCAGTACAAACATTTAATTTAATATTTTGCTTTAATTTTGATTAGAATTATTTATTTCAATTTTGATGCGAAATTTAATTCAGAATTACCTTTGATTTCCACCGATGGTAATAAAATCAACACATCCTGAGTTATTGTTACTTTTTGCAACAGCGAGCGGTCGGAAAATGTCACAAACAACATTACGCAAACAAATTATCACTGCGTGCACGCAGGTGAAAACCATTTCGAAGCAAAATTGCAATGTTGTACAGTTTGGGGCGATTTTTGACCTTGTACACTCAAAATAACACCATTATGCAACCAACGCGTGAGATGTGCTATGCAACGCGGTGATGAGCTTCTATCTCTGTCTATACACATCGAACCCAAGCCGTCAAACAAATTTGGTACCTCGACCATATTGCTGCATATGACCCGACTATATACGTACAGGGTGTTTCACGAGAAACCGAATGGTAGATCATATATGGACTGACACCTTTTCTTATCTGAAAATAAAGAACTCTAAACTCATTTTTTATCTAAACACGACAAATATTCACATGACTTGGGCAGTATTTATCCGATTTTGATGAAATCTTGTAAAATATCAAAGTTACCTGAGACTAACCTAAAACTAGTTGGAAGGAGGGATGAACTCCATTTTTTAACTCTCTTTTTTATCAAAATCAACAAATTTTAAGCCGAATATAGAAATATTCAACTGTGTATAAAAAAGCCAATGTATCTTGCTTAGCAACTAGCTACATAGATTGCCTTTGGTTTCTTAGTTAAACATTTTACAAACAGGTGCTCAGAATTGAATTGCAGATGTATTTGGAGCCCAAAGTTTGAGGCGCGGAATAAGTTCCTTTACTTCTCTTATTATACAGCAAAAAAACAATGAATGATATAAATGAAATATTATGCCATCCCCCTGTCAAGAGTGACACCGAGACACTTAGCATAATTTCCCCATGGTATGTGACCTCCATTCACTCAAGCGTCAGCCCACTACGTTTTTTAGTATAATAGATAGCCTGCGTTTTCGAGTAATTAATTTTGATCATCCACCGATCTGCCCATTACAATTCCTCATCCATCGCATTTTGTAACCTGTCGTGAACCAGATTTCCGAAACGTACTGGGCCACCAGTGCAGTGTCATCAGCATATGGATAGTCACAGTCGCTAGGGCAAGGGACATCATGCGTGAAAAGTGAGTAAAGGAGAAGAACCGAACCCTGAAGGACGCCAGCTCTGATGAGCCGTACTGTCTACAAGACGTTATTAATTTTGATCCGAAATTTCCTACCGTCAAGGAAGAATTTCAAAAGTTTCAGTAGCCAGAATGGAAAGCCCTTTTGAATTAGTTTATAGACAAGGTCCATGTGCCACACCGTGTCAAATGCCTATGAGACATCCAGAAGCATGCTTGTACTTTCGTTAAGGGGTTAAGGATGAAGCCTCTGGAAACTCGCTCCACAAGCCTAACCGCCTGTAACTCCGTACTATGCTCAGACCGAAATCCAAATTACTCGTCAAGAACTAAGAAAAGATATAAATGTATCTGAATGACAGCTAACTGTATTGAGATTGTTACATATTACATACCTAGTATTAAGCCGCGTACAGACCGAAAATCCAACGCCGAGCATACGAATGCAGGCAAATATGAACATCTCCAAATCTGTAACCACATGTGCCTTGGCTTGCGTTGGAATCTCGGTCCGTACGCGGCTTTATATGACGACTTACAGTATTAAAAAGCAAATTCTGTACGGGTGAAAACGATGGAAGGTATGAAATTCAACCATTCTCCATGCTTTTCCTGCCATTACTAATTCTACAAAAACTAACCGACGGCTTTCCAAGAATTCGACGGCAGTTTGATGCCAGTCAGCATTTTCCGTTCGCATATTCAATTTCATTCATGAAAAAAGTTAACCAGATACATGTAACATGTATAAAATGTAGCGTATGTACATGAAGGTATGTTAAACCGTGTGTATAACGAGTATGTCACACGATGCTTACTAGGCAGGTAGGAGTACGACGTGACCTACACTCTGCATATCACATGTTTTATTAGTATGGACAACAGAGACTTTTTCCATGGGCGTTCAGGGGGGATGTTCTCGAGTCGCACGAAAATGTCCAAAGCTTCAGCACATGCGAAATATTCTCGCTTGCGACACTGAACTTCATTTTTGTGATTCATGTTTTCGTTTGTCACTGTGCTGTCACTTTTGTAAAGCTATTGGATTTAAGGACATGTGATGGAAAAAAGGTGGTAGTAGTGGAAGTACTAGTAGCAGCAGCAGCAGCAGTAGTGGTAGTGTATTAGTAGTAGTAGTAGATCATGCTGGCCTGCTCAAACGAGATATGTATATACATTTTTTTTTCATTACTAATACTGTCACTATGTTCGTTTGTATATGATTCGAATATTTCCATTAAGTAACGTTACACTGTATACATAAATCAGCAATCATATTAATTTTACAAATATTTTGAAATATCTGTCAACCTGACAAATTCTAGTGAATGCAATAAGAAGGATGTTTAGCCTGCAGGCTGGTTCGTTCCAGTTTCAGGTGGGAGTAAAGTGATAACGTTTGTAAGTTGTTTTAATTCTGCTCACATCACAAATGTATACAATGTGGTGTAGAAAGGCAGGTGCTGGGAACTATGAAACTACGTAAAGTTTCCTACTTGGGACATACATTGAGAGGATCCCGGCACGGGTATTGCGGATCTTGAAAAGTGACAATTTGTCGGTTTTTTGACATTTCGTAGCTTTTTTGTGACATAACGTAGGGTTTTTTACGTTTTTACGTTTTTTAGGACTTTTACATAACCTCTACGGTACACGATACCTAAGTTAGTTCTACAAGGGAAAATACAGGGGGAGCGCGGTTCTGGCAGAAAACAATCTCCTTTATTGAGGAATATAAGGAAATGATGATGCATACCCGATGCAGCAACCATTTTCCGACAAGCCGAAGAAGGAACCTTGGTCATTCTGTAGCCATTAAAGAGAAACGTGCTTCATTGCCCATGGCACTAAAAGAAGAATATCCAAATACTTCGAAATAGTTTAGTTATCAGTTTTAATGATAATAGCAGGATACAATTTTAAATGACGTGATTATTTACTTATACTATATCATAAGTAATTAGAAAACAGATGGTTTATATGTAGCATGTGCGTGACTTAACTTCCCCAAGGGAAACTGATCCTTAACTCGACTGCTACTGCACAGACAATCATGAATTGACTGGTAGAAAAAAGTCGTATTCATCTACCTTCTAACACTACTCCAATACTCTCGACATTGTAGTTGTATCTTCAGATGTTGCTAGGTAATATATCGAAAATCAACAACATCAAATTGCACGCCCATGACAAGAAAGTTGTCATCATGACCTTGACCATGACGTTGACAAGAAGAGGCACTGGGGTAAAAAACATATGTCTTTGAGCTTACACAAAGAAATGTACAGGAAGGGAGAATGGTTCCACATGTATGTGTGAGGCATATGGATATGTGAAAGCAATTTTTGTAGCCGTACTGTGACCTGCCAAATACGATGAAAATACATACAGGCAAAAAAAATTGTCTGACGGCTTGAGTTCAATGTGTACGAGAGAGTAGCGCGAAAAGTAAGTATCAATACATTTTAGAAAGAGATAGAGAACGGGTGAATGCGAACGTCATCACCACATTGCCTAGCAACTGTGACGCAGAAGGTCGTGCCATCTGCCGCGTTGCCAATATTTTACACCAGAAAATGTTCGCATAGGCTGCTACAATAGGTTAGATTACTGTCAAAACTAAGAAGGAGGTCTGTTCGAAAATTTAATTCAATATTTTGTTTTCATTTTGATTAGAATTATTCATTTCAATTTTGATTTCCACCGTTGGTGATAAAATCAACACATCCTGAGTTATTGTTACATTGCAATGCAAATTATCACTGCCAAAATAAAACCATTAATTATGCGAGAATAAACTAACGCATATTTTCTACATGCATCTCAATTCAAGGAATTGGTGTATCATATTGGCAACGCGGCAGACTGCTGCGTCAGTGTTGCTAGGCAACACGGTGATGAGCATCTATCTCTTTCTAACATATGTGTCTATACACGCTTCTCTCTTGTACACATTGAACTCAAAACGTCAGACTAATTTGGTTTCCAGTGTATAGGCGTTTTTTATTATTACTTACTCAGGGAGAGAAAACCTACTCTCAGTGGGTGGGGCATTGCGATTCATAATGGTAATTTCTCTGTTTAGTAGTTTATTTGTACCCACATTTAACAATTTTGTATATTGAGACTGGGCAGCTTTCCAGCTCATCGATGACACTTTGTTGACAGTCGAAAGATGACATAGATGGCACTAGGATCTTCCAGATCTATTGTTGGACGCCGGAATGCCGTATATGCTACGTTAATCCATCCTACAGCTCTACTGATCTCTGTGGATTAAGATGATTTTTCAAAATACTAATAAACGTCTTTTATTGAAGGCGAAGTTTAGCTTAAAGCCT